TAATGACCTATAAAGCCCTAAACGGCTTGGGTCCTGGTTACCTGAAGGAGCGCTTACATCCATATATGCCCAGTTGCCCCCTGAGATCGGCGGGAGAGGCCCTTCTCCGGGAGCCCTCCGTGAGAGAAATTAGGAGGGTGGCTACTCGGAGGAGGGCTTTCTCAGCGGTGGCGCCTAAGTTCTGGAATGCGCTCCCCAGAGAGGTCCGCCTGGCGCCGTCGTTATTTGTTTTTCGGGGCCAGGCAAAGACCTTTTTATTTAAGCAACATTTTAAATGTTAATACCACTGAATTTTATCTGGCCAGGGCGGCTTATTTTATAATGTGTGTTTTAAATTATTATGATTATTTTATATGTATATTTTAACTTATTGGTTTTATTTATTGTTGTAAGCCGCCCCGAGGCTTCGGCGAATGGGGCGGCATAAAAATGTTTTAATAAATAAATAAAAATGATAACAAATTCTAGTTGACAACAAAGACCCTGGCCCTTGGAGGAAGGAGTGGGTCTTGGGCTTGCTGTCAAAGGTGTTTGAAGGTAAGCAGGAATCCATAGTGTGATGTTGGGCTTTTGAAGTGCTTTAGAGTTCAGCATGACATGAATTAGTGCCTAACTCCTTCCAAGTCTGGGAGGGTATCTCTCCAGATGAATTCTGGAAGGGGATTAGGGTGAAAAAATTATACAGTTAATCCTAAAAGACAATAGAACAAGTCTGCAGCCCCCATAGTTGAACATACCCTCCAAAATACATATACAATCTGTATGGCAATATATAGAATTTAGTGTACTGGGTATAATGTGTATATAAACTAGTACAAAACTATTATGCAAATTAAATTGCATAAAATTTTTGCATTTCTGACCCAAAATTCTGTTTGGGTCAGAATTAATAAGTTTGAGCAAAAGCTGAGCAAAAGCTGTTAACTGTAAAAATGTCATATGTTTCACTTCAGGTTTTTATTGAACCAAGAATTGTGATTAGAATGTTCCAAACTGCTGGCGAGTGTAGGAATTATTTTCAGATAATGGTATTGATGTACTTTAGTCATAAACATTTTCAGCACTCATGTAAACTTGCAAGGACATCAAAATTATGTTTCAGAAGTACTTTGACTAGTATGAAATCCCCATGAAAATGGCCCTATGAAATCTTTGTCCACTAATTGGGAAAATAGAGTTCTTCCTAGATTTATATTGGAAAACATACTTTCTTAGAAGATGTAGTCTTCTAAGTTGTCTAGGGCATGCATTTTTTCCCTTTACATTGTAAGCCGTCCTGAGGCTTTTTTGCAAATAGGACGGCATATAAATATTTTAAATAAATAAACTGCACAAAATCCTCTTGAAAGTGAATCTGCCTTCATTTCTAAGGATGAGGCCAATACTGGCAGGTCAGAGCTACTCTCAACATAAGCGAAAGAACAGAATCTCACTGACTTCTCCTAAAGCCATATACAGGAAGTAGTGTGAGGCAGTGAATCATTCTTCTCCTATTGAATGAGATTCCTCATTAGGGGGCATTCACACCACCCAGATCTTGGCAGTGACAGCAACAGCAGCTTATACACCAATCATCTAATGCTAACCTTTTTAATGCTGTGCTCTACAGTTTGATAACCATTTACTTAGGGGGTGAAGTACAGTAATCCCAAGTAAGCTTAAAGCAGCAATCCTTGTGTCTGTTAAAGATAATGGAATGAGAAAATTCTTGGAAAATAGAAAGAGGATAAAGAAATGAATAGTATTGTAGCATCTATTGAAACTATTTTTAATGGTGTTAATCATTTTTATTTTGACACCAGTTTTTGCTTAGCATATTAAGGTCTAATGAACACTGTATGTTGGAATAAAACTATAATGCCAGAATTGATCTTTGCAGGTCAATCATACTTAGCCAGTGTCAGTTAAAGAGTTTCCAGATAAAGTCAGTCTTAAATATACTTGAAGCTGTTTGGAAGAAGGGCAGAATATGACAGTAATATTTTATGTCATTTTTATCATGACTAGTGGTCATAGCAAAGTGAAGTAAAAAAACATTCTGCCCACCAGTCCTATGGTGTGCAGTCTTATGAAGCAACATTCCTAAGATTTAAAACTCAGACCATTGTTTATACAGAACTCAGTACAAGGCATAATTTCCTGTGATGTTCACCTGTCTTAAAGTGTACAGGCAAAGAAATCGAGTGTATGCTTACATGAAGGAGGTCCTTGTCCAGTTCTCCAGCATTTCCATAACAAGGATATCTAATAGTAGGACTTAGGAAATAATGCAGATGGATAGCTGGACAGACTTTCCATATGGAAGTTTCATACATGTTTCCTTCTGCCCTTCCCCAGTGCGAACTGCTGCTTGGAGGCTTGGCTAATGCAAGCTACTTAATTCTGCTCCTAACTTGCACTGAAACACAAACAGCAGAAATTGGTCTACTTACTACTTTATCTTTGTATCTAATCCTAACCAGAGTGCCTTTTTCCTTTCATTACTTTGAGCAAAATCATCTTGGGATAGGAACTAAATATGCAACTAAATATGCATTCAGAAACTTAGTGTGTTAGCACAATGTAGTGCACCTAAGTTGAGAGCTCTCTTAATTGGTAGTGTAATGTGGAGGTAATTGCAGTTGATATAATCTTGGTTGTAATTGCTTTTGGAAAAGAATGCTGCTGTTAAATCCAAAGTTCTGTCATCATTGCTGTTGCAAAGATGGGAGTGTTTGGTTATTATGGAAGCTGCCAGCTGTAGAATGTAAGGACAAGTTGGCTATACTACTCTTGCTCTTAAAAAAAAAAGGGGGGGGTAGAAGGACTGAATTCTCACTGGTTCTCAAACAGTCCCAGCCCCTGGGGAGGGGTAATTGGTGATAACTTTGTCCTGACCCAGGTGATACATTGATGGATTCTATGGCCTACCAGAAGAATCTCTTGTACTCATATTGGATTGTGTAAGGTAACTTGAAACCTCACTCTTACAGGAAAAGCTGCTTCTTTGGTTTGAATTCCTCTGCATGGTATCTGGATGAGAGTGAAGATCTTCTCTATTCCTTTTCCATCACTGCTTTGGGGATTGTATCTAGTCTGCAAATCCTTGCATTCAGTAGCAGATCTATGAGCTCAAAACTTTGACATGCAGAAAGCATTGCACTCACACACATGTGGACCAGAGGATTCAGGTTTGGAGGAGCACAGGAAAGGGCAAAGAGAATTATAGAAGGGGATCCCAAGTTACTATTTCAGATACCATATCTTCAGAATGGCAAACCGTAAGGAAAGCTTTACCATTAGCCAGGAAGGGAAAACCTTTTGGAAGACTGTGGAAATTGCCCCCCCCCCCCCCCCCCGGCATATTGTGTTTTGGAAGGCATCTTTTTTCCTAAATGCAGATTTATATGTTCTGGCATGAAGGCTGTTAAGTAGGGAAGGTGATCCACAGACATATCTAAACAAGATTTAATGGAGTAGATATGAGTAAAATATGTTGCATGCATGATCCAAACGTACCTGCCAGTGCTATTAATCTAGTTCAGACATTCCTTTTCAGTACTAAGCTATTTTTAATATTTAAAATTCATACATACAGCAATGTAAGTACATAAAGATGGTCACCTCCATTTTACATTTTACACGTCCACATTATTCCCATACTTTCCAAGTTTATCAACTGTATGCATCCATGCTAGTTGAGGGATGAAGTTGACACTGCTGGGTGTTTTGCTTGGGGACAGTAGTAGGATTAAGGCTGCTTTGGCTGAACTAATTTTATGTAGAAAGAAATTTGTACTTTATGCTTTAATTCAGGTTATTTGCCATTGAATAATTGGTACTGATGTAGTATTTATGAATAGCTTAACAGTGCAGATTGAACTACAACTTATCTGGCTTTTCAAATATTGTTAGAACATTGCTATGTAATTGTAAGTTTCTCATCTTTAGCAAAAAAGTACAGGGTAATTATACATAGACTTTACTTCAAAGTATATTTTTATCTAATACATGACATTCAAGGTTCTGTGCTAGCCAGGCCTGTCTAAATTCACCATATTTCATGCACATAAAAATAGTGCAGCTCATTTCAGCTTTAAATGGTAAAGTTGAGAGCAGGGGTTGTAGGAGAGATACATAATATGACTTATGGTTTAAACCATGGGTCCTCAAAGTATGGCCCGCTGACTGGATCTGGCCCGACTGCCATAGCTTGCCATGTGTGCGTGCGGTGAGGTGCTGGCTTGCTTGCTTGCAAGGAGATTGCTTTGGACTCACTCAAAGAAAAGGATCTCCCAGCAAGGCGCCGCCTTGCTCTCAAGGAGATCCTTTTCTCCAAGCGAGTCCAAAAACGATCTCCTTGTGAGCAAACCAGCCGTGAGGTGCTGGCTTGCTCACAAGGAGATCATTTTGGACTCGCTCGGAGAAAAGGATCTCTGCGCACGCATATCCCTGCCTTTCTGTGCACACGCACCCCCCCAGCCCACACTGCCTTGGCGGCCTGCACCCATCTGGCCCTGAATTCAAAAAGTTTGAGGATCCCTGGTTTAAACTATGTCTAGCTTTAAAGGTGTAATTGCCTAGAACTTGACAGTATTCAGGAAATCAAATACTTTGGCTAGGATGCAAACATTGTACCTTCTGCATGGCTAAGTGTTCTTTAGGCCAAAACCAACTTCCTTTTCATCTTCCAACCAGCATCCAATTTATGGCAAAATGCTTGTGAAAGCTGAAGAGCTGTGCAAAGGTACTTTGATATTATGTGGAAGAGTGTATATTGGGTGGGGTAGGTGGTCTACTGACACAATGCAAACTTGGTGTTAGCCTGAAGTAGCCTCTTGAACCATTGTCCATATTTCTTAGAAAAATGAAGTCACATGCAGCTCTAGAAATACACGTAAATTTCTAATAATCTCATGTGGCTGCTACTTAACAAAAAACTGTATCTGTATTGGTCTCCTAGCATTCCAGGAGCCAACTGTCATATCAACAGTTAATTTTCTGAACTTTGTTTTTTGTAGCTTAGAACAAGTCTTGAAACAACATGTCTACATTCTACTTTGATAACTGCAGGAAGCAGAAATTAGGTATTTACAATTATGCTTAAGTTAATACTTACCTAATTTTTTGAACTTTAACTTATCTCATATCCCTGCACTTGAAACTAGTTTGTTTTGTGGCAGTCTTATATAAAAAGTAAGAGTTGTGTCTAAGCTTAAGGTACTGAGTAAGACACCAAAATCAGTTCTTTATGGGACGGGTAGAATTGTATAATCCTATACAAGTCAATATTTGCATATAAATCATTTTTGCATGCAGTAATTGTCTCTTTATGATTAATACATTCTAAAACCCATAGTCAAGTAATACCTTTATTAGGGTGGGCAAGCTGCTACAAAAGGCAGCTGGGAAGAGAAGGAAATTGCTGAGCTTGACATATGCATGGTCAAAGTTTAAAGATGGAAGGAAGAAGTGTGGCAGGTTTAAATGGATTATACTCCACTAACTTTCTTGGGGAGATCTTAGATAGTTTGCATGAACATATAATGACTTACCGTCCTATTTTTGAATATATAAAATGCAGTAGGCTCTGTCTCCAGTCATATTGGAAACACAGGTTCCCTGATAGAAAGAGACCAAAGTGATAATTAATATAGTCAGCCTTCCACATTCGTGGTGACTAGGGGCACAGGACCCCTGCCAAAGTAGAAAAAACTGCAAATTCCCCCCCCCCAAACCGTACCTCTTAATACAGCTGATCATATGTGTACTGGATTGCTCCCCCCCACTCCCCCCCCGTGACTTTCGCCTGATCCAGCAGGTCTTCTCTTTTCATTTATTATATTCTTATGTCCTTATTACCCACCCTCCTTTTCAAGGAAATCCCAGAGAGATTTCTCTCTGGATGGGTGGGGGAAGAAAGCATGCTTTGGAGGCCCTCCCTCTCTCCCTTTTCACTTCCCCTCTTTCTGTGGTGATTATGATTGTCTGCAGTAGGCTGCAAAACTTTTTTTTTAAAAAAATCCATTTAATTATTGATGACAAACTCACAAATAATCAAATCCACGAAAGTTAAACCCACAAAAGTTGAGGTTCAACTATATTGCAGTTCTTATATTAACAAAGCTGGAGATCAATATTGAATAATAGACTAGGTTATAAAAGGCCAATGGGTGGTGGTACTTAGTATTTGGAAAGAAGGACATCCTCAGTAAATGTCCTATATTCAGGTGGTACATGCTTAAAAAAATAATCTTGGGTGAGCAGCTCAAGTTGTGTGGTGGCTTTTCTTGTTCTTGACTGGTTCTGACACACAAACTGTCTTGGTTGCCCTTGCTAGAGGATGGGTGCTGGGAGAATGAGAGTGAGAATTCAGCCCAGCTAATCCTCCTGGCCTTTTTGCTAGTTTTGATACCCTTAACCATAGCATCCTTTTGGATACCTTATCTACATTGTACAGCAGTGTTACAGTAACTGCCTGAGGGTCTAAGTCTACAAGGTGGAGGCTGAAAACTACTAGCATTATGACCTTTATCTTATGGGTTTGTTCTTGTGCAGTTCCCCTTTCATGTCTATAATTGCATGATAGAAACACATACTAGAGTTAATAGGGAATAAGGTAGAATCATTGCACTGATACCTAAGTATATTTATTGTCTAATTAAGGTGAAGCAGTGATTGCCTGATTTCAGCAATGCTTTCCTGGACATTTTTCTTCTAAAGGTGTAAGTTCATATTTTGAGGGTGCTAATTGATCTAGTTTGTTCACTGGAGGGCCTGGCTGCTTTTGTGGTTTGTACTAGCTGTTATGAGATTAAGCTTTGCACTAGGTATAACTCTTTTTGGACAAATTAGACTGTGTGTTACACAAGACTTCTAAAACTTCAGTTGGTTTACAATTCAGCAGCTGGGGCGTGCCATGTCTGTTCCAAAAACCTACATTGGTTTCTGCTCTGTTCAAAATCCTGTATGACTTGATGCTTGAAGGATTGCCTGTTCTCCAGTGTATTTGTCTGTTCACTGAAAGTCTGTTGAAAGGCCCTTCTTGGCATACTTTTGTCTTTTGAATGTATGTGGGTGGTGTTCTGGTTGTGGTATCCCTTCTTGGAGTCATCTTCCCAGGGAGGTTTCCCCATCAGCCATTCTGTCTTTTCAATGCCTGGCAAAGACCTTTTGATGTTCTAACCTACCTGAAGCATTAGATAGTATTTTAAAATCTGCTTCTCTGTTTCATTGTTAGCCCCAAGAGCATTTCTAAAGGTGAAAAATAAATGTATGTGGGCAAGTGAATGTGTAAAAAAAAAAAAAAAAAACCTTGTAAATTATCCTTGGCCCCTGTGTGTTTTGGATTTAATTGCAAGGCTTGGCTAAGAAGCTGAGGATTATGGATTTGTGGTGAGATCTTCTATTCAGTGATATGAATTAAACAACAAATCACTGATCCAATTAATTGAACTCTGTTTTGTTAATGCTGTATTTTGTAGCAAGGATACTATTAGTTCTTAGTGGAAGCTTCATCTGTAATAAGTTTTCATGCCATTTCTTTGGGTGTTTATGCCACATGAGGGTGGGTAACATGCGTGTTGTATGCAACCCGGACCTCCTGCCAAATTTGCTATCAAAGTGATAATGCCAAAAAAAAAAAAAAAACCCAACATTTTTGGGACGAAGCAAAATGTGGGCATGCCCACCTTGTTTCGAATTAGAAGAGCACTTTTGGAAGCCTCTTGGGATCAAACAAGGCAGGTGCTCCTTGTACATCATGTTTCCTCAAAAAACCACCTTTTGGAGTGCTGCTACTTTGGCAGCCGGGAAGGGTGTATCATTCTGTGGTTGCAGTGTTGACCCTTAGGTGGTCATCTACTCCTGAATTGCACTAAGATTCTGAGAAGGAATCTAAATTGTGGTAGATATTGTAGGCTAGTCCCACAAATGCTGTGTCTTACCATATGTGTTATGCTTGGAAACTTTTGATAAGGGACTATAAAACAATTTTGTGGCACAGTTACCCTCTCCTGAGTTAGAAAAGTTTTTTTAAGAAAAGCTTTTACGAAGCTTTCTATAGCGTAATGCTGAACTACTTGACTCTGGTATGTTCTGTTGATATAACATGTTACCTGCTGTGGGCGCAGTTCTAAGCACAAATACAGTAAACTCACAAGTATTGGAGCTATACTTTTAAAAAGTGGAATTATTTGCAACTTATTTTTTTGCTAATGTTAGTGGAAGTACTTAAGCTAGGAATAACTTTTGAAAATGTATGTTACAAGTCTCTGAATCTTGTTGGTGTTTTCTAAGCCACCATGTACAACTGTGGACTAAAATTGGCAGGAAAGTTTCAAAATTAAGGCTTTCTTCCTTAACTGTAGATTTGATATGGATGGGGTTAAAGAAGGGAAGCATTACTTGGTGGCACAGTGGTTTTGATCTTGAAGCATTGAAGCTGAAGCATTTCTGTCACATTTTCGACTGGTATCTTGGTAGCAAACCATACCCACAGCATAGCAGTAGTTCCCTTTGTTCTCACACTCACACTGCTTTGTAATGGCTGGGCTGTATGAAAGTGCTCCAACGGCTTTTCACAGTGAGGCCTTCCTTGACTCATGAGTTCTAAGCAATCAAACTACAAATGTTTACAATACTTGGCATCCACTAATTCTGTAATAGGACATTGTTCATGCATGGGCACAGCAATACCTATTTAGTATAGGATGACATTTGGAAGAGTTACAATGCTTTTTGTGCAAAGCCATCATTCTCTGAGTTGTTGGAAGGACAAAAGACAAATGTGGCATTCTCTGAAAGTACTATTTCTTATTTTAGGAACTTAGTGACTTGGCCCGTGACCCACCAGCTCAGTGTTCTGCAGGCCCCGTTGGAGATGACAGTAAGTAATTGACAACTAACTTCGGACTTATTGAATCAGGGATACAGAACTTCCAGTTCACGGGCCTGTTTGGGCCTGTTGGGAGTCTCTAAGCTGGGCTCCTCTAGGGCTTGAGACTTGGCCTCCATGCTCAGCTCCCTGGTGGAATCATGAATGTTACCTCAGATCTGTGATAACAGGGATGTTGGCCAGTGGAAGACTCAACCAGTGCAAGAAGCAGCAATGACTTTTCTGTGCACTGGCCAAGTTGCTTCACATGGGGCCCCATGGAGACACTGACTGCTGCTCAAAACCAGTGACTTGGCTGGCACTGGGCCGAGCATTTCTCCATATAGTGCTGGGTAAGTCTTTTTTCTGGATTGAGAGCAGCATGGATCTCAGTGCCTCTCTTAGTATCAAGATAGGCTGAAATACTGAAATACAGTTGTACCTTGGCTCACGAATTTAATCCATTCCAGGATTCTGATCATGAGCCAAGTCAAATTTTCCCATAAGGTTCAATGTAAATAAGGTTAATCCGTTCTGTAACTTTTTTTTAATCACAAAAATTTGAAGCAAAGTGACAAATGACAACAAAGATCATGGCCATTTCCCCCACACCCGTGCAGGTAAGATGGGTGCAATTGTGATCGACACTCAATGTGGAGTTCGCAACCTGCGGCAAAATTTTTCTGAACTTTCTGTTTGCAACCCGATTTGGTCATGAACTGAGGTGTTTGTGAGCTGAGGTACCACTGTATGTGGGGCACTGATGTCAGTTGGTGTGGTCACACCTGCTGATAAATTGCAACAAATTGGAGCCTGGTGGGGGGCAGCTAATCTGAACTTGTTTATGTTTCTCTTGTGGAGGAAACATGTTAAATACCTTGATTTTCTTCTTGTTTTTTCCCCCCAACCCACCCCCTTCTCCTAGTGTTTCATTGGCAAGCCACAATTATGGGTCCTGTAAGTATTGCAGCATATGAATGTTGATTGAAGTGCTCAGTATTCTTCTAGAAGGATACTTCCTGTCTATTCTGGTCATACTAGAGTAAGAAGGCTATATTGTATAACCATTTTTATAGTGGTGTCCGAACATTTCATTGGTCCAACCAAATTATCTAGTTAAGTTATTGCTCTGTATTTCTTATTCTTGGGAGTTAACAAGGCCACCAATACCTTGAGAGTTTATTTTGAACATTCCTACAACTCTTCTGAAAGTACAGAACCTTTGTAGATAATGCCTTTCCCTCAGATTGCATCCTGTGGATACTTACTTTATTAAAACTCTTCTCAGCTGTCTTTCACCAAGATTGATTCCAGAAGACTTTGTACCACATGAAATAAAGGCAAAGAAACAGAACCATTGGCAAGATTTAAAATGCCCCAAATGTCAAAGCATGGAAGAATAAATAGGCTTTATGTTGATGCTTCAAAGAAACCTGTATGGCTGTCCTACAGGGCTTTCAAGGGAGTGGCGCTGCAACATTTCTAGTTATGTGTCAGTAGACAAATAATATTTCAGAATATTATTTGAGATCTCCAGATCTTCTGAACAGGGAGAAAAGAAGTTTGTGTATTGCTATTTATTTCCCTTTTAAACTTAACAGGCTGAGTTTTAAGTGTTGCATATTAAGCCTCAGATAACTTTTCTTAGAGTTGGCTAATACATAGTATTCATGAATAAACTAGTGCTAATAAATTTATTTTGAATTATGTTGTTCCTGCTATAATTCCTAACTTGAATTGATTTTGAATTTCTTTCTTCAACAGAATGACAGTCCATATCAAGGTGGTGTTTTCTTCCTGACAATTCACTTTCCTACAGACTACCCTTTCAAACCACCTAAGGCAAGTATAATTTTGGAGGAAAGCTTTTAGTTTTTAAAATAATGAACGCCTGTGTTTACAAGTGAATACTAAGCTATAATCTAAAGAAAGGAACACTGCTATTCTGCTATTTTTGTGGCAGCACTTGCTGACCAAGAGAAAAGACTCTGTGGTCAAAACAGCAACCAAATCTCCATGCTAATCTTGTCCAAGTCCCTTTGGATTCCCTAATATTTAACTGTTTAAAATCTGACAATTCAACTAATGCAGAGTCATAGTGCATGTAGATGTTAATATGGTTCAGTTTACACAAACTGGTTAATTATATAAAGCTTTATGTTCAACGGTCATTGAAAGTTTCTTTGACCAACAACTATAATGTACAATGAAGCAGTATCCAATGTTTTGCTACTACTAGTGTAAATTCGATCATGCTAATACAAGTGCCCTGCTGCAACACTATATATTTCCTGCCTTTATGCATACCCTATAGCAGTGTCGAATTGGATAGTGCCCTTTATAAATCCAGAGTATGAAAACCTGTACAACTATACAAGTACTTCTGTACCCCAGAGGTGCTTTACACGTAACTTGCCTTTTGACCTTTGTTTTATACAGTAGACTACTTATGTGTCTGCACTTTCTTTCAATCAGTCATATTACTCCCAGAAAATGTTACGCAGGAGTGGACTACTGTTACAAGAATGTCTGATCAGGAAGTTGAATAAGAAAATGTTTATCTTTTTTGAGTTGTTAAATCAAACAGTCATGTGACTTTAGGGGAAAACCTTTTATTCCAGATTTCAAAAGTTAGGCAATTGCTTTTCAAAGGATTTCAGGTTGTACTTTGACTTTGACTTTGCTTCCTCTTGGAAGAGTTTGGAGGCCTGAATATATGAAATGACACTTTATTTCTCTGTATCATGCCATAAATATGCTCCTCTTTTGCTTATCATTTTGAAAATATGCATCAGTTGCAAATACTCAGAGCTCTGTGCATGCATTATACATAGTTCTGTTCTACAAACTGAAGCATCCAACCCTAGAAACACCAGATCAGTTTGCAGATCAAGATGATGTAATATATGGACAACTTCCCCTGTAGCTTCAATAAATAGCATTGTGTATAATCAGAACATTGTGGCACCTTTAATCTGATGAAAATGACATGCATGCTAACTGAAGACTGATTTTTATTTCTTCAAGGTTGCATTTACAACAAGAATTTATCATCCAAATATTAACAGTAATGGCAGCATTTGTCTCGACATTCTAAGGTCACAGTGGTCTCCTGCTTTAACTATTTCTAAAGGCAAGTAGTTTTTGAACAAACTGGTCTTGTATTTTTGAACTTGTGAAAGAAGCACTTTGAAAGATTCTTTTTCCTCTGCACCCCCAGCCTGATATGAGCATTGCTTTGTTTTCACTCTTCCATTCTCGTCACAACTACTAAAATTTGCAGGCATGTCTATCTTTATGTGCTAGTTTAGATACTGGGTTAAAACTGATTTTAGAGAAATTAGGTTACAATTTCATAAGCTGAAAAGCTTGTATTACAAGTTTTTAAAAGCAGTATCATGGAAGCAGAGGGGCACTTGGATGTGACTTTAAAGCCCCATACGCTATCAGCCAGTTGCTAGCAAGCCAGTACTGATGCTTTTTATTTAAAGTAAATATTTATTTCATTTCTGTATCACCCCATAGCCAAAGCTTTCTGGGTGGTTTACAACATACCCTTTCGAAGGGTTTTTTTTGGGGGCAGGTTATATAGAGATTGTTCAACACTTGCTTCATTGGTGTATCTATGATATTTACAAGTGAGGCTTCTTAGAAAGCCATCAACAGTGCTTTGGCTAAAGGGGAGTTTCCAGGAAAATAACAGTTCTTGGTAAGGAGTAGTAAGATTTATATCTGAACTTGGATTATTCATGTGAGTGGTGATTGCATGGAGTGGTGTTAAAAGTGTTAAACCAAGAAAGATGAAGACAGTATGGCTGTCAGAACTGATAAACCTAGAAAAAGGCTTCAAACTAACTGAAAATTCAGGATGTTCTTTTTCATAATCACCAGCAAGGATCCATTTTGTATAAAAGAACTGGCTTTAAATGGTCATGTAGATGTCATTGCAGCCAACCTAGTCAAGCCCTTTGAACTTCAGCCAGTTCTCTTGTAAAATATATGAATCCATTTTACATATACCTGCAGAGGAAGATAATTAACTTGTCTTCTGATGTATGATTTACAGTCCTATCTTGGATTTCATTGTAAATGCTACTTTTTGTTGCAGTTCTCTTATCCATTTGTTCACTGCTATGTGATCCAAATCCAGATGATCCCCTAGTGCCAGAGATTGCACGTATCTATAAAACAGACAGAGACAAGTAAGTATAGCTCATTTGGAAAGATTGATTTAATAGAGAGACAGTGGCTAGAGTGCAGTTAAGTTACTTCTGCTCTTCCAGAGTTGGAGATGACTTTGGTAAAGTGTTCTGGTTCAGAAGGCTCCAGGAGAGTGCTAGAATGGAAATTAGATTTTAACATTGGCCATAATTTTTAGTTTCTCTTATAAGATTGTCATGGAACAGTTACAGACAAAATAACCACACTAGGTTTTAGTTTGAGGAGTGGGGTGGAGTGCAGGGTAGCAGCTACTCTCATGACTTAATTACTGCCTTCTGTTTCGGGCTTATCTGTGGTTGCATCAAAACTACCCATTAGTTTTATATTGGCTTTTTGCTTCAAGTTTGCAATTAAATCTTGCCCTGGTAGACTTAAGATGGTTCTATTGGCTTGTCTTTGTTACTAAATATACTTATCCAATTAGGTACAATAGGTTAGCAAGAGAGTGGACAGAGAAATACGCTATGCTCTAGGGTAAGACTGTCTGCACTTCATTGTGCATTAATGATGTGAGGACTTCAGCACTCGAGTGCAGCATGCTCTAAGGCACTGGATTAACTAACAAATAAAAGAATGTACCAGTTACTGAAATACAAAGTTTAACTGCTTGATCTGTATTCAGAGTGAGAAACCTCTTCTTGCATGGGAAAACAAGTATAGCCAAAGAAAGATGAGGTTTTCTAGATCTATCTTGGTTCTTGAACTTTCTGGTAAGTGTTTTTGTTGGTACTTCAAAGAGGAGATGCCTTTGGTCATAAATCTAATCCGGAGGTTGAGCAGATGAAAGTTAGAGTTCATGAAGTATGAAACCTACTAGGCATGTATAGGTAGACACTAACATAATAACTGAGCATGGAAATATAGCACTGACACTTTCAGTGGAGTGCTGTGCAGCTCTCACAATATCTTTGTTTTACTTTAGAGGGACTGGCTATATTTAGTTTGTGCTTTTTGGAAAAGTTTGGAGTTTTGTGTTACCTTCCATAACATCATAACTGAACAACCACCTTTATTTGCACATTAAGACATTTTTTCCTAATATACAGTACTTCTAATTATATGCTAGATAAAATTAGTTATTTTCCCATAGTCCTCTATAAATCTAGTTCAGTGATAAAGTACAGTGCTAGAAATACTAGTGTGTTGGGGTGGGGATGTTCCAAGGTAGTTGGCCTGACTATTTTTGTCCCACTATCATAGCTGTTTGCAGCACAAGGTTTACAGAGCATTGAATTTGGTGCAAGTTATTATCTTGGCTTGTGGGGATTGCTTTGGGTCAAACTAAGAAGATTGAAGTGTATGGACATTATCAGAGATTGTTAGTATTTCGAATAATCTGGGTTGCTTTGTTTGGAGTTAAATTCAAGCATTTTAATGTATATGAAACTAGCCAACTGCTCCAGATAGTATCAAATTTAAAGTAGCTTTGCCACATCAGTAGCAAGTATTTTCCTTTATTATGTTTTTGAGTTTTCTTCCATTTGGATCTAAATATGGTTTATGCTTTTTAAAAGCTTGTGTTTCCAGGTTTCATTTGAATATATTCTTTGCTCATGGTGGTGTATATGAATATGTTTCTGGGAAGCTGAAAGTTACATTAATATGTGGGAATCCCTTAGTGTTGTATTTTTTGTGGTATTGCTGGCTTTGCTTAACATGTTTTCCTTTTACAGGTACAACAGAATATCTCGGGAATGGACTCAGAAGTATGCCATGTGATGCTACCTTAAGTCAGAATAACCTGCATTATAGCTGGAATAAACTTTAAATTACTGTTCCTTTTTGATTTTCTTATCCGGCTGCTCCCCTATCAGACCTCATCTTTTTTTTTTATTTACCTCTATCCATTCATGCACATGCTCATCTGAGAAGACTTTAGCTCTTCCAGCTTTGGACAATAACTGCTTTTTAGAATCTGTAAAGTAGTTATACAAGAACAATTGCCCAAGATTCAGAATTCTTTAAATGGAGCATGTGTGTTGTGGCCAATGTCTTCACTCTAACTTGGTTATGAGATTGAAATCATTCCTCACTGCTCTAACAGTTCTACTGAAGAAATCACCCAAAGGGAGGGGAGATGGATGTTCAGATTGCTCACATCACAGGAAATAACATTGCTGTAGCATCATCCATCTTTTTTTAAAACCTTCCAGTGTTAGAGACTGAGGTTTCATGACATACTTGTGCTCATAACTGGTATGGCTGGAGAATTGGTACAGAACCTGTAGCATCAGCAGAACAGAACACGTGATGTATCTTATGCATGTCAATAAAGGAATGACCAGTTCTTGTTCTACAGAGAATGGAAATTGGAAGTCCAACATCCCATGTATTCCAAAATAGGGTCTCGGAACATTTTTGTAACTCATTTAAATTTTGTTAGGATGCTTGGAGCTATTAGTTAATCTATCTTCCACAACAGTTTAATATAGCACTGAAAAAATGATGCAAGTTGTCAATGGATGAGTGATCAACTAATAGCTCTCCTAGTAATTGATTTTATTTTCTTCAATAAAGTTACATAAACCAATGAGTTAGCTGCCTGGATTAATCAATATGGGATACAAAATCTTTTGTAAAAGCAAAGGTGGTTTTTGTATATACTTGTTGGGATTTGCCTCATTGTTTGACATCAAATAATGAAGTGAAGTTAGTAGAGTGAACCTTTTGCCATGTTCAGTTATAATACTTGGTCTGTGTTCAGGTTGACACATTGATCAGCCCTGGAGTATGCAGAACTAATAAGCTAATCTAGTAGTGTAGACTTTAGTGTGCTACACGAGGTACTGGGAGCCATGAGTTCAAATATGGACTTGGAACCCAGCTGATATATGTACTGGTGTATTGTGGAGACATTTCCAGATGCACCCAGCTTGTTGACTTTGAGAAGTTATTCTTCACCTTGTACACTTGACAGCTGAAAGATCTTTATGTGGGAGTAATGAGGCAAAAATTGCAAAATAAAGTACTGTTTTGATGTGGGAATTGTCATGAGGTTGTGTTGAAGTTACTTTTCTATGTGGGATGTTTGCTTTCCATCAAAGGACTACCATGCTGCCACTTAAATTAATGAACATTTTTGCTGCAGTGGCCACTCATTTCTGGTGACTAGAATGAATGAATGAAGTCATTGCTACTGGGTTTTTTGTTTTGAGAAGCACTGTCTTGTGCCACTCATTTTTCTTGATCTTGTTGATAAGGTATCTTACCTTTCTCCTCATTCTAAACTCATGGTTTTGTCTCTATCGTTGTCTATAGCTCAGCATATTCTAGTCCTGTACTATCAGTCTGTGCTTCTGTGACTTCTAGCTCCACTTTTGGCACTGCTTATAGTTCTGTGCATACAAATTTCTTGTCTCCACACAATTGTGGAAACCTAGATGTAAAATAAATGTTAAACTGTAACTTTTATAAAAGTGGAATATGTAGTTTGCCCATGGTTTGTTTCAACTTTAACACATGGTGAAAACCTACCTTTGGGGAGTGTTCAGTTCCTATTCAGGGTAAGTTCATCACTTCTGGGCAATAAAAACATTAGGGGACAAAGAGGTATTACTTGCACAATTAGAGCCAGTTACTTGGTCAGATTTTGTTTAATTTGCAACAAACTGCTTATCTTACACAGACAAGTGCAGCATTTTTATATAAACTAGTAAGTATTAAAAGCTTGGATCAGTTCAACCAAAACTAAATACCATTTCCCTGATCTTAACTGAGAAGTTTAAGCATGTACTTTGTTTTTCTATGAGATGAACTTCAGCTGGTTGTATGTGGCAGCTGTTCTAAAGGCACTTGGAAGTAAGAACCTCTCATATGAATAAGGCATTTTACCCCTTTCTACAGATAAAAGAGTTCTCAGAGCAGCCTATAGCTCAATAAGATGACAATCCCAGGCTTCATGTTATGATCTAGATGGTGTGTTTTTTCTTTTTGACTGACGCATAAAGATAAAAAACTATTCTAGGATAATGTGTTTATTTACAGTATTTCTATATCTTGCCACATCCAAACAGATTCCAAATGTTGAATTGGTATATGGTTGAAGTAAGATAATAGCATAGATTAGTTGTATGTAAGTTGGTGCTCCTGCCTTTTTTCTGTTGTCGAGAGGCTAATTTCTAAAGTTGCATTTGAAATTTGCTTATCAGCTATATTGATGCAAAACCTAGTTAGGACAATGTCTTAGTTTGGTAGTGAGCTCTTTTCCATGCTTTGGTGTAAAGTAAAGCATGTTTATCATGTAATTGTCTTACTTTGCCCAAGACACTACTTTACCTTCCACAGTAGTTTGTAGCAGTTTCCTTTACTTTGGGCAGATAAAAACATCTGAATGTACAAAACCTTTGCATTGTGCAAGTTTGCATAAATGTATAAGTGTTGGAAAGTGTTAACAAGCCTTCTAAATTAGGCTTTAGACTAATACAATGTATTTGCTACAGCTGCAAAGGCTTGAAAGGGGAAGTAAATGAAGCTTTAAATCCATAAGCTGGATAAAAGCAACATTTATGAACAATCAGAGTAGTCAATTGTAAATGTTTTTTCTAAGGTACAGTTTCCTCCTGCACTTGCTGGCACAGTGAGGGCCAGAATAGAAATGGAAGGCAAGTTTAGTGCTGCTGTACTCGGGTGCCTACCTTCAGAGTAGCTTCATATTAAGCTATTGTGTCCTAAGTAAATTGCCCTTCACATCATGAAGATTTAGACTTATTGAGAACAGTTTCAGGTATTTCCTGGCTTTCTTCCATGTTTATTTCATCAGATGGCATGTTGAAGAAGCTACCAGTTTCAAATAATTCACTGCAGCTGCCTTGACTATACTTTCTCCATCTAGCAGGATATATTGTCCCTTATCTAATCATTACTGCAGAAGGTATTGTGATTACTTATATCCCATCCTCTTTCAGGGTACGTTGGGATTTTTTTGTATAGAGTTCTTGGCCTGCCTTCTGCAGACTCCGTTGCTCTTTAATACTGTTGGCACCTTATTTTTGAAATGGGAATGGTTCAGATCCATTTGATTTCAGCTGGCATCTGAGACTTTACTGATAATGTTCACATCTCTTTGTTGCTGGCCACTGCCTTAATGTTAGCAAAATAGAGCATCTATACCTAGTTCATCCCTTCCCTTACAGCAGCAGTTCTAAGCTTCCAAGAGCAGCCGTACCTCTTCCTTTTAAAGTGAAAAAGAATTAGTTCTTTACTGGTATTATGGACCCAACCAATACAGGCATCATTTCTCATTCTTGATGAATGTGTTCAACAATCTGTAGGTAATTTTAAGTGTTCCATGTTTTGGAAACAATTCTCTGGCAGGAGAAAGTAGCATGCAGGAAGCAGCTACTTTAGAATGTCTCCAATATGCTAATATTTTTCACTTAAGTCCTTCCCCACTGGCAGCTAACTGTGATATAGTCATTACCCTCATTCTCCTGTACATGTAGACCAGCCCTCAAATCCATGAATGAAAGAGCTCAAAACAGAAATGGTAGTATTCAGATAAGCAATGTGATAAAGCTGGGTCTTTTCACATTCCTATCCCGCTTGCTATTTGAAGAGCTCATGGTTCTGCAGATGGGGAGTTATGCAGTAGCTGACTTTCTAAAGATCAGCTAAGTCAGCAGTTCCCAAAATGTATACATGTTGACTGGCAGAATGTTGCTTGGGCTGTGTTCTCCAAACCAAAGCTTATTTAAATTAATGCTTCAGCATTAGTGTAATAGAAATCAGCAGTATATTATGGCAATCACAAGCCCTGTGGTTGCGTCTTTGATAATGCATTCTTGGTCAAAATGGCCTTGACTGTCTTTGTCAGAAAAATGAAATCCAGAGGATTTTATGCAGAATGTTCACATAACTGCCTGAATGGACTTGAGAGAGCAATTTGAGACTTCTAGGCAAACAAGAATGGGAATTTGAATTTAGGGGGATCTGTTTCTTTGGGCTCTGTTGGATATATCTGGTGACACCATTGTGCTGGTAAATACTGCATATCAGTAGGGTTGCTATTTTGGCAGAAAGTAAACTCTTTTGTAACAGTTGGATGACAGGCAGGACTACATCTCCATTAAGAAAACTTGCCTGCAATGATAGTGAGTCGGTCAGTCAGAAAGTAGCAACCATTTTGCTTGCTTAACCTCATAGGGATTGATTCATCCTGTGTATTGCTTGTTCTCTCACTTCCTAGAAATAACTTGGGCACAGTCAAACATCCTTCTAATAGATGTAGCTAAATTATCTTCAGAGCCATGCTGCTCTTGTGAGTGGGAATAACTTTTTATTGTGCTGACAGAAAATAATCAAATCTTATTCTATTAACTAGCTCCTAAGCAGTAACTATTAGCTGGTGACTTTGCTTATTAACTGTATATATGTAGTGTTGTGCCCTATGACATGACTGTTCTAATCTTGCTCTGCTTATTGCATAATTTCTAATATTTGTGGCATTCTTCACTATTTGCATTGCAGGAATGGTGTGGTTGCTTGTCTGTGGAAGCATCCGGTGCTGTTCAGATAATATTGGAGTTTGGAAGGGAGTGTTTAGGAGGATGCAATGAAAGGATTGTTTACCCTGCTAACTTTTATTTTTTGCTTGAATTAAGTGTCTACTGAAATAGAAAAACAAAAGCTTTGACATACTTTTCCTTCAGTATTTATCTTTTAAATGTATAGGATTGGTCACTTTTTCAGTTTTCAGAAGGATATGAAAATCCTTAACACTGTGTAGTAGAACATCAGAGCTGAGTCTTAAGGTGAGATCTTAAGGAATACAGTTCACACCAAGGAAGAGTTTCCTTTATATGCAAATTTGAAGAGGCTTTAGAGTTGTGAATTGTAGCATAAGCATTTTGTGTGAATTAGTCTGAAAATAACACTGGGGAGTGGGGCATGGGGCCATATTCTATAATTACCAAAAATCCATGCCTACATACCAAATCCACAATGCTCTATTTTTGTCCATAATTAAGGAATGATTAAGAACCACAGACAGTAAAGAGGCAGCAAAATCCAAATGCAAAAACTTTGCACCTAAACAGTCACGCTTGGATGTTACATCTTCTGCATTTAAGAAAGTTCTTTTCTGTGAAAAGTGGAGGTGGCAAATTGAAGCGGGTTACTGTTGTGGAACTGTTCATTTAGGAAAATGAACAGTTTAAAAAAATGGGTTTAAAGAAATTCCAGTACTCCAACTAGCACACTGCAGGCTTCTGAAAAGTTGCTGCATGGTGGGAGAAGATGCAGTTGGCATTTGGCTCTAAAAAGACAGGTGGCCAGGGCCTGAGTGTGTCAGGCTGTTCCCCTCAGCCATCCAAGAGGAAGGTGAACTTTTATCCATGGAAGAGGATCAAAACATTTTTGCACATAGTCAGAGGTACTCTTATCTCTTCACATATTCTGTTGCTGCCAGTAAAACCCAGTTGCAGTTTTTCTGTGTAAGAACCTGGTAATCCTTGATTCAAACTTAAGCCATAGATATTTAAAGTATCAGTATCTAAAACTCCTGATTTACTAGGATCTTTGTTCCCTAAAAATGCATTGTACTAATTCAACAATGTATCACTGGTAAATGATCAAGGGAACTAATAGGTTTGCATTTTGATGTCCTCCTGAAGTGTTTAAAGAAGAAACTTGGACTTACTAGGAGCAAGAATACTGGAAAACAACTGTAAGGATGGAAAGCGGTGACCTAAAGTTGGTCTGATGGTTACACACAGTTTTTTGCTGTTCCCTTGAACAGTAAAACTGTGAGAAGATGTTTAACTTATCCCTATGATTTACATTTCACTTAAATATGCATCAGAATTCTCACTATTTAAAAAAAATGTGCCTCTAGTCAAAATGGAGACTAAGACAATACAAATACATCTTGAATACAAAGTCATCAGAGAAGAACAGTATATAAATAACAGGACATCATCCAGCTAAACTTAAGCATGCTCAGGTACAACTAACACTATTTTAAACACTAAATTTGCTTAGGTTTGGTT